ACTGATATGCTTTCTGACTTCAGAACTATCAGCATGTGCCTGAAAATACTTATCTTTTGGAAAACCAGCTCAGATTCCCTTCTCTTTGAGACCTCAATTGTGCAGTAATTGCTGGGTATCAAAATTAATTGAAAACTCATCTAACAGAACTGCAGTCTGCCATTTACACATCTTACTACTACGCAGTGATCAGTAACCATGCTAAAAACCACAAGTGAGCAGCCCAACAGAGATATCACAGAGGATATTTTTCCCAGTAGTCAAGAAAAATGATAGACCAAGCAGGCAGAGGAGTAAAATCCACCTTGAGCAAACCTGCCTGTACAACACAAACTCTTAGACAAGGATCATGAAGTGCTGTAGAATCATTACTGAAGCCTAACGCCAGAACGCATCAGTTCATTCTCCTCTACTTCATTATTTAAGACCCATTTTCTGTGGGTGTGTGTTGTTGTTGTTGGTTTATTACAAATGCTTGTTCTGCTTCAAGGGGAAGCATTTCCAGTTCCCAAGAAATAATCTGCAAAACAAGACTCTTCTCAACACTCTGTTACAACTTTGTAATTTATAAAGTACCAATGAGCTCATTCGAAACACCCCTGGTTGACAAACACGCGCTTTGCAACACTCAGCTGGCTCCAAAAACGCCACTGGAGATGCTGACAGGGATCTTCCTCCTGAACATCACTTCCACAGCACTGAACACACCACACAAAACAGCTACAACAAATCCAAGCCACATGCTCAATACTAATTCCTATGCACTATCACATACACCAACCATAGCCGATGAGTTAACAGACCCCCAAGGCTGGCTAGCCCCCAGAACTCTGGGAACACACTTTTTTACCAAAATGCCAGCAATTCAGACCACAAGGAGATAGGGAAGCAGCACTGAGGTCACTGGCACAATGTGAACACTGCTGCAAGCTTATGGTCACAAAAAATCTACCACATTTTGACAGTTTCCTTCTTTTCACCAACTTACCCCAATCCTGTCAGCTACCATATACCCTCGATGCCACAGCAATAGCTACTGCACACATCTACAAGAACACTGGGGTAAAATTCCAGCCATCATAACCAGAATTAGTATTTTAAAAAAGAAAAGCCTTTTTTTCTGTTTGTTTTTTTAAGATCCAGTACGACATTTGCTGAATGGTGCCCTGAAGTCTACTTGAGCTTCAGATCCCGCATTAGGTACAAAAGTATTGATGCCAGCATGGAACATACCATTAGAGACGGATCGATGTTGTCAGGGAGAGTGACAAAGCTGCTGTAACACAGCCCAAGAAAACACTCCTTTGCAATTAGAGAGAGGTAATAGAAATCAGAGACAGATATTCAGCCTTTAAGACATTCTGTTTAAATCCCTATTGATCATCTCTGAGATGATGTCTACTTTTTGCCAAATTAGGATTTTATTACCACTACAGTGGAAGTGTCTAGAAACAATAATTTCTCACAGAACAACTTATGCATCTAGTCAGAGCAGGAAACTGCCTTGGCTAAAGCTCACCTCAAAAAACCCCAAGCCCACCAGTTTGATTTTGCATGGTCAACTCCTGATGCAACTCACTGTGCTGGAACTCACACCAGCGCAGTGCTGGGCAACCACAGGAGTCAAAGCTTCCACGAGCTTAAACAGGCCCGATGCTGCTGCCTCAGCTTGATCCTGGTAAGGTTCAGTAAATGCTTTGTAACTAAAATCACCAGCACCCATAAATTGATTATAAAATCCAAACCAAACGGTTAGTGCCAGAAGGAGAGGTCTGATGAACAGCAGATTAAAATGCACGCTGGTTCCTCATCAGCAGAGGTAATCCAAGATGTACACAAAACAGAAATGCAGTTTACATGCTAAAAAATAATTCAAGGAGTCATCTGATTGAGAAACAGAGCTACAGTTAAAAACTGGTTTTCAACACCAGCCCTTACACAACCACGTTAAGGGCTTCGGGGTTTCCCCCCTCCTTTTTTTTTGCGCTGTGTCAAACAGCTCTTTTCCGCTGCATTTAACAGTTGCTGAAGAAGGTCTGTGCCTTGGCCACATTGCTACTAAAATCATTTTTCAGTACAACATCTTCTTGAAAACTGCTTAAAGGAACAACTCCTGTTGCAGCGCTCTGCGGCCTGATGCTTTACTCAGGCAGAGAACACTCACTCACCTCTGCCCTGCTGCTGCCAGCACATAATTCAGATTAACACAGCATCAACTCCTGCTCACTGATGCTTTTGCCGTGTCTGTAACTTCCACTGCAGGTTTGCAGCTCCTGCATCGGCAACTCTAACCCAAAGTCATCATCAGAATTACACACTTCCATTTGTAAATACAAGACCAAGAAAATCACTATCCAGACCTACAAGTTTCCAGGATCTTAACTACAGGCCAAGCACAGCTATTCAAAGAATGGCTTTGCAGGGAAACCCCCACATCCCCCTCGAAGAGTTGGAGGAGCTGACTGTACATAACCTTATTATTCTCTTACTAAATGAGTAGCTCCTATAAATGCAAATTACTGCGAATGCTCTCCACCACTGAAGCCAAAGAAAACCGAAATGCAGCACACTGGTTCCATACATTCACCCCGCAGCGGTTGTACAATCGTAGTTTCTCGTGCCTACAGATCCTCCCCAGCTTTGCTGCAGCATAAACACAGGCAGACTTGGCCACTGCACAGAAAAAGAGACTTTGGGAGCTGAAGCAAGCAGCTTAACGCAGCGTAATGATGGAATAACCATTTTAAAAGCCACGGTCTCCTTTAAAACAGCACAACAAACCCTGCCTGGGGTCACCAGGAGAAAGCTCACACTGGGGCCGGAGCGTGAGCTCCCCAGCAGGGCACATCAGGAGCCGCTCGCTGTTTACCTTGGACAGCTCAGAGCAGCTCAGGGCAGCGCAGGGTTGCACAAGAACAGAGATTCTTTGTGCCCCTGCGGGGACCTCACCTCTGCACCTCACTCCCCCGACTTACAATGATTCTTTCAAAGAACTCACCACACTGCAGCATTCTGTCGCTCAGCCTGTGTCTGAGGATGTCCACAGCTGGTGGCACAGCTGCTGCGACGTGGGGAGCACATCTGGCCACATAGAACCCTACACACTTGGTTCTGTGTCCTGCTCCAGCAGGGAAATGAGAGGGAGATCACAGAGGAAGCCTAAGCCACCTCTTTCTTGTAAGTGTGCAAATTCAGGGTCCAAACCCTGGATCCAGGAGAGTAACAAAGAAGAAAAACACCGTCTAGAGCTTGAAAAATCAACACTGCTGTTTTGAGGGAACCTCATGATACCATTACCTTGAACTAAACTACTTGCAGCTGAAGGCATTCATCTCCGTGCTTGGAGGCCTCAGTCCTGATTGTGATGCATTTCTTTAATATCTTTCAGACATTCCAAATACTATTATGTAGTCAGGAATTTCTTTTCTATCAAATTATTTAATAAAAACATGCTGAAGACATTAGGAAACATTGCGACACTGCGCCATCATCATTAGTGCTTCTCAGTTTTAAACCCACAGATTAGCATTCCTGCTTTAACTAAGCTTTTAAATGCTGGTTTGCATACTGTCTACAGCAAACCATGTACAAAGACATTCTGATCTCCTCCACAGCCAGTAGGAGCAAGTACATGAGTGACTGTCTCATGTGAAAGTACAATCCAGCTACAGGGATGTGTGTGCCTGTGGACATGTTTTATACACAAACTATGGGGTTTTTACATGATTTTTATTTCATTCCCCTTCAGTCAAATGGCCACCTATGGATAGCTACACCATTACAATACATCCTGCTTGAAGAAATTAAACTCAACCAGGAGCTTTGGGTTCAAAATATTCAGGTTGAAAATAAAGCCACCAAGCCACAGTCTCCCTGTGGTTTTGACCAGCACAGGCACACGCAGCTTTTGGTAACACCTACAAATGCACAAGCAAACCCTTTCACAGCACTAGCACACAGGCTGATAAAGCACTGAACTGCATACTTGGGGACACAGAGAATCAGGTTTGTGTCACTAAGGTCATCACTAGAGACTGCTGAGATGTGTTAGCAGCAGCTCACCAAGACACCTTCTGCAAGTGGCCTGCACGCAAAGCCCACTCTGCCTGCAGGAAAAGCCTGTCTGGAGGTGCTGGGATTTTGCTGAATGTTTCCAAACATCACCATTAACCTGGTTTTTCTCCCCCGTTTTCACACCAGTAACATCCACACCAGCACAAGCTCCCCACGTGGGGCTTTTGGGGAGTTAGGGGGTTTCAGGGGGGGGGTCTTTCTTAAAAGTAAGACTGCAAGGTCCGTAAGAGGGAGCTCAAACACAGCTCCGGCTGGAAGCCCTCAGAACTAAGGGGTTTTAACAATGTAGATTACAAAAAAAAACCCAATTGTGGAATCCTGAGAGTATCTTCAGCTGAATGAGAACCACCTTTAAAATGCACGTCACAGCTGCACCCAAATTTTCTTTAATAATCTTATATTCTCCATCATCTGAAGAGCCATACATGGAACAGCTCAGCACTACCTGTGGTATCCTGCATGTTAATGTCTGGTTAATTCTAATTTGCAAGGGCAGCAACAGCCTTGAACAGTGAATCCAACTGGGCTGTGTTACAGCAGAAATGGAGAGCAGGCCCTGGTAAACAGCCTCTCCTTGAGCAACCAGTGCAGTTCTGAAATTCCATGTCTCACATAAAAAAAGCAGCAGAACCAGCAGCAGAATAAAGGAGTCAATGTCACACAGGGAAAAAAAGCCTCCCCCTCTTCTCACCCACTTTGTTACTATGGGACTCGCAGAAATCTCTGGATTATAAACACGAAGGTCCCACTCACAAGACAATTAAGCAGCTCCAGAGCTTCTATCGGCCACCCACCCACCGCCACGACTCTCCCCAAGGTCTGTGTCTGCCAGCAAACCCAACACACGTTCTGCAATGTGCCAGCTCCAACCAGGCCCTGGCTGCTCCCGAGAACAGGGGGAATGCTCCTGAAACCAAAGGGATTCATTTTTCAAAGGAATTTTCTTTTATTCAAGTGAATGGTGAGGGCAATAGAGAAAGGAGGAGTTGACATCATGTTCTAGTTTGTCCTGGGCAAGAAAGAGGCATCAAAACTTCAAAATCTCAGCTGGAGCAACCAGCAGGAATAGGCAGAAGACGACCAGGTCAGAAAGGAACCTCAGAAACAGCACGTGAAACAGCAGTTCCCTGCTCTGCTATGACCAGCCCCAAACACGAAAGCAGCCAGGATGGTAACACTGCAAACACTGCAAAAAGACAATTACTAATAATGAAAAGGCAACCGAAATTCTGGGCTGCTTCCACAAACTGAGTAACGCATCTGCACAGTGACAGCAGCAAAGTGTGTTTTGGCAAATGAAATGAGAGCAAACGGCAAAGTTGTGCTTAACCCCTTTTTGCTTTTATGCTGCATTTTAAACACAGATGAAATCATGGAATTTAGAAGAAAAAGTCTACAAAGAAGACATTTTATTCAGCTATTTGGTCAGTGTTTCCATCACTTCAGTACCCAGAATCCTCAGAAAACTTATTCATCTTGGGTCCTTTCCTCAATACCAGGTTCTTGAAAATAAGATGGGCTTCCATCTGCAAAACCAGGGTCAGGAACCCTCAGATTCAGGAAGAACTGAATCAGGATTCGGACTTATCTTGCGGAAGGTGACTGCAACTGCTAAACCTAAGAGTTAACCTGCAATTGCAGACTCTCCAGAACACTCAGCTCTCAAGTGGCTGCAAAGACCAACCACCAAAAGGCAAAATCCTGGGTACTGAGCTACTCAGGCAGAGATGCAAGAAACCAAGAAGGCTCCATCGACTGCAAACATCCCTAAAGCATCCTGGCTCTTCTCTCAACTAACTCCATCAAGAACTCCACCAGCATCCTCTAAGAGGCATCACCAACAAAGCTTTGGCCTCGCGCCTTCCCAAGCAGGAGCTGTCAGAAGCACTGTGGCCTTTCTTTGATATCTGACCAGCAGCAGCACCAATTCCAAACAAGGATTCCCCCTATCCTGACACGAAGGAATAAGAGGAAACACGTTCCTGTAAATCCAAGGGTATGTTCTCCTGTTCTCGCATTCCTGTGAAGGTTCAGGCACAAACAAGTTCAGAAATTTTCCTTTAAACAGTTAAAAGAAAACCCAAAACGTTGACACAAGCAAGTGAGGCAAAATCCCTGCAGAAAAGCTCTGACATCCCTATGTCTAAACCAGAAGAGGCATCTGATGTTTGGAAAGCACATTTGTTATGCAGGTAATTTCTGCTGATGGGCTTTGCAGAGGCATCACAAGCCAAGGAGGGTTTGGAAGTGCAGCAATTTGCACCTACGACAACTGGAGTGTAACAGGAACAACATTAACGACACCGAGCCCAGCAGCACCCACCCAGGCTCTGCACACCCATGGGTGCTCCACACCAAGGGAACCAGGGCTTTACCTGCCCGCACTGAAGGGATGCTCCGCAGGGCCCTGAGGGAAGCAAGCGCTTCTTAGGTAGGCAGGAGCAAGGCTGGGACCCCCCCCCGCCCCAATCTGGGCCGAAGAACCGGGAGACCCCCTCTGAGATACGGGTGAGGAACCGAGCCCCCCCCTCAGAGCCTGTCTTGAGGAACCGGGGACCCCCGCTCAGAGCCTGACGAAGGAACCGGGACCTCCCTTCGATCCCGGTGAAGGCACCGGAGCCCTCCTCAGCCCCATCCCAGGGCAGAGCTGTCCCCCCCCACACCCCACAGGAACCCCCGCGCAGCCGGGCCCGCTCCGGCGGAGCCATGACGGAGCTGTCCCGACCCTGCCACGGGGCAGAGCCCCCCCTCCGCCGCGAGAACGGGGGACTCCCCCTCCCAATGCGCGCCAGGCCCTGCCCGGCCGCGCCGGCCCGGCGGCAGGTGCCGCTCTCCGGAGGATGCTCCGGGCCGGGGCCCGGTACCCGGGAGGCAGATGGGGGGGGGGGGGGGGGTGTTAACGGGGTACCGGGGGGGGCCCGCCGGGGGCACCGCCCGCCCCCAGCAGGGGGCGCTGCCCGCCGCCCCGCCCGCCGCCGCTGCCCCCGGGCTGAGGGGAGCCGCGGGGGGCGCCGCCCCTCCCCCCCCCCCCCCCTCCGGAGCCGCCGCGGCGGGGGCGCGCGGGCGGGCGGCGGGGCGCGGCGCCATCCTCACCCGGTGCGCGCGGGTCAGGCTGAGGTCCTTCATGACCTCCTCGAAGGCCGCCGTCTCCTCCGCCTGCTTCTGGTTGTGCAGCGCGATCTTCTCGCTGAATTTCCGCGGGTTGTTCGAGGCCGCCATCTTCCCCCGTCCGCATCCCCCTCCCCGCGCCGGAGGGGGGGGGAGGCGGGCGACGCGCATGCGCCGCGCACGGCCCCGCCGGGAGGGAGCGCAACGCGCGTGCGCGAAGGGAGGGGGCGGTGAGGGGGCGCGCGGGCGCATGCGCGGCGCCGGGCGGGAGCGCTGAGGCGATGGCGGCGGCTGTGTCCCGCCGCCGCCCCCACTGGGTCCTGGTGTCCCCCTGAGCCGGGGCTGGAGTCGCTCTGCCATGGGGACAGGCTGAGAGAGCTGGGCTGGAGAAGAGAAGGCTCCTGAAGGGGAGACCTTAGAGCAGCTCCAGTGCCTGAAGGGGCTGCAGGAAACCTGGAGAGGGGCTTGGGACAAGGGCCTGCAGGGACAGACCAGGGGGAATGGCTTGAACCTGCCCGAGGGGAGACTGAGATGAGCTCTTAGGCAGAAGCTCTTCCCTGTGAGGGTGCTGAGGCGCTGGCACAGGGTGCCCAGAGAAGCTGTGGCTGCCCCATCCCTGGCAGTGTTCAAGGCCAGGTTGGACACAGGGGCTTGGAGCAAGCTGCTCTAGTGGAAGGGGTCCCTGCCCGTGGCAGGGTTTGGAGCTGGAGGAGCTTTAAGGTCCCTTCCAATACAGACCGGTCTGTCGTTCTTTGCCAAGGCGAAACAAGGGTGTTCGTGTGTCCCCACTGGGTGCTCAGACACCAAACTCCTCCCAAGGCATGAGGCAAGTTCCAAATCTCTAAAAAGCCAGGTATTCTTCAACCAGCACATCTAAACTCTCAGTTCTACATCTTGTTCTTCTGTCTAAGCTCCCTCAGGTTTGCTGCCTTGGCTTAGAGGGGGTTTTCCCTCTGGATGGAGCAGTGTGTGCAACAGGGAAAGAAAGGGAGGAGAAAACAAGCTATGCATTCATTAGCAAGGCTTTTAGAACGAGCAGCAGTTCCTACGCTGCCTCTTAGAATCATAGAATCCAGCCTGGTTTGGCTTGGAAGGGACCATCCAGTTCCAACCCCTGCCACAGGCAGGGACACTTTCCACTAGAGCAGCTTGCTCCAAGCCTGTGTCCAACCTGGCCTTGAACACTGCCAGGGATGGGGCATTCCTCCTGCAAGATAAGCAGAGCCCATACCCGCACAGCAGGAATCTGGTACTAAGATCCCAAATGAAGTCCTGATTCCTGGAAGAGGTTCAGGAGCCCGGCACCCTCCTGTTTCCCTGCTGCTCAGGTGTGTTGTCCAGCGAAGCAGCAGCTGAGCCTGCGGCTGTGTTCTAAGCTACCAGAACAAACTGGAGCCACGTTCCGGTGCAGGCACGTCCCTGCTGCGAGGGGAGCAGCAGTTCCAGGGAGGACCGCCGGGTTGGAACACAGGCTTAGGCTGCTAAGCCATTGATTCCAGCTGTGCTAACATCAGGTGGGTGCAGAGCGCTGTGATGTGCAGGACGCACGCATTAGGCAGTAATAAATCCTGTTTCCCAACACCCACATGGTGCCCTTTACACTTTCCTTTTTACAAAGCACCACTAAATCAAGTGGACGCTCTGGGTTTTCGTGCATCGCTCTGGCCCTGAGCAGTGCTCACTCCAGTAACCAAACCCTGTCACGGCGAGAGCAAAGAAATGAAGCTCCATGCTCACTTCCATTGCTGATCACTCCGGGGCCTTGGTTCTCTCAGTTTACCAGGCATTTGGAAGTATTTCCTGCCCCCATAAAATAAGAGATTATAATTATCTTGTGCTGCAAGGCTGTTGGAGATGGATGGGTGAGACTCGCTTCAACAGCCAGGATTAGCATTAGCCACAAAGTCACGTCCTACCCTAAATTGTCGTTGCCAACTTGCACTTCCAAGTTTATAATGTGGTATGAGATACCATCGCACAAAGCAGAGCTGGGCCTGAAAGCTCATCCAGGCCCTGGCAGGCTCAACCCTTCCTCTGTCATTCCTGACAGATGTTAGTCTAACCACTTCTTGCATTTTCCACTGGGAATAAACAACTGGAATGCATATTCAGTTAAATACCCTCGAGCTGTGTACATGAACAGCGTATGACCTGCAGAGTTGGCATGTCACGCTAAGAGCATATAAATCACAAAGATTTAGCACTAAGATACCCATTATCCACATTGGTTTTGCTCGAGAAGTGAGATGATTATAAATAATTTGTTGAGTTATCCTGGATTGAATACCATAGGTGGTAATAGCAAACATCTAGAGACCCAGCTGCCGCTCTGCCTCTTGTCTAGCACCAAATGGTGAAGTGCCTAAGATGAAACTTGATAAACTTTCCCCTCTTGGATCTCCTGGAGATTGAAGAGGGTGAAATCTCCCGTCTGATGGCTCCTGGTTTGCAGGGAAGGAACGCAGATGGCTATGGGGGCGGGGGGGGGGGTGACGACTTCCTCCCTTAAGAAGACTCCCTTTTCTTATTGTTTCGCCTGTGCAGCGTTATCAGATGGAATTCCAGCGTGCAACCTGGCCCCGCTCCTGTTCTTAAACTCTCCCGTTTGAAAGCCGTTTGCGTAACAAACTTCTCTTCAATACAACATTTGTGTTCACAGAGTTGCCTCTGGAATTTCTCACCCACTCCCAGCTCCACGTTTTGGGCTGTGGGTGGATCTGAGTGGCTGCTAAGTGCATGACCCAGCAGACAATGTAAATCTTGACTGCATTAAGGCATTGGCAAGGAGACATTTCAGGCGGGTGCCAGGTTTCCTCCTTCCTCCACTGAAGGAGATATGCCATGCATCTAACAGAATGATGAGCTCATACCCTTAACTATTATTTATGTCTCCTGCCGTCTTCACCTTGAGCACATATGGGGCCATGTGAGAACAACTTGATCTCACTAGAAAGCTGCGATGGGATCCCCTGAGACAGCAGTTCTGTCTCCTCCAGCCTTCCAGACACGTTATGAAGAAATTTCTTGTAACTGAGAACCGGAGCTTTGCTCTGAAGCAAACAAAGGCGTTGGAGGACCGGGCTGTTGTGTTCACATCTGCTTTTGTTACAAACAACTCCTTACTGAGCAACCTGCACCCAGAGCAAGAGGCTTGCAGGGAGGAGCTGCTGTTTACTCAGTGCTTGTTTGTTATCCTCCAGGTCCTTCGGAATTGCTCTGGCAGATGAGATCCAGCTACTTCCGTATTCTCCCTTGGAGGCTTCAGAGGAGGGTGTGAGGTTGAACAATTTACACAACAGCAGCCAGCAGGAGACTGTGCCCTCATCCACAAAGAAGACGACTTCTTTTTGCCTACAAAGGTTTTGATCTCCCACTTCAAGCTGTTGTTCCTGTTGACATTCCCATTATCCTCAGAGGAGAATATCCTGTGTGAAGACCACAGAATCCCTACTTCCAACACTTCTGAACTGAGCTCTGAATTGTACTTTCAGTAGGAGAAAATGCTCTTGTTTCACTTGGGATTTGTGACCATTTCTTTACTTTAAGCTGTCCTTGTTTCCAGAAGGCAGATAAAAGCACCTGAATTACTCTTTCTACACTACTCATTGAATCTGATGAGCAGTCCAAGCAAACCAAGTGGCAGTCACACGCGTGGCTTGGTTCTGCTCTCTTGTTACCAACATTCCCTTGTCATCCTTCCAGTTTAGTTTCTTTACCATCCCCTGTAAAACCTAAACTTACAGCGAGCAAACCAACACTGACTACTCAAAGGTACTACTCTCATTTCTACAAGTCACATCTCCTGGTGCTCTGAAATACTTGGCAGCCACACAGAGGATTCTGTTACTGATCTTTTTTTCCCAGAATTGAGCTCGGCTTCACGCCACACTAATGCAAGAAGTATTCCCATGATCCTGAGGTGATGTGGTGAGCTGGTGAGGCAGTAGGCACTTTATGTCTTTCCAAAGATAGCACTTGGAAGGCAGGCAAAGTGTTCTACATGGGTACATTCAGAGTCTGCACTAAAAGGGAGGCACCAGGAGGAATCGTGTGCTTCAGTGAAACAAGCAGGAAGCTGGAAAAGAGTTTTTACTACTAAGAGATTACACCATTGCAAATCGAACTGTAGAGCAGAGAGAGAAGCATGGCTGAGAGCAGGATGTTTCCTTCCACAGCCGCCTGTCAAATCCAACTGCAGAGAATTTAGTGACATTCTATACATAAAGTAGCAGGAAAAAGTTTTCTTTCAAGATCTTGTGGTTCAGCTTCAGAGATGTGCTGGAAGGGTCAGAAGGAACAGATTTACATCCACACAATCCCCATCCAAACAGGTTTGTAGACATTTCCTTAACGTTCATGTATAACAAACAGCTACAGGGAAGGCAACAATACCTGGTGTGAAATGGCACGACGCCCAGGCCTTGTCCTGCTCTCTCCTCCTACTGCAGAAACACAAAGCAGCAGATTTTCATGCTGAAAGTAGTTAAAAAGAAGAGAAGGCTCTAAGGGTGAAGGAGAATTCCATGTGGTTTTCCTAGGAGGCTTCCCAGAGTCAACCACCTGCCTACTCCTCCTCTTCACATCCCAGTGCAAAACCAAAACCAACCCTCTGCTATTTCCACACCTTAGGACAGTTGTCTACTTGCAAGTTAAAGGCTCGATGTTCATACCAAAGATAATAAGAAAACTCTAAGGGTGAAGGAGAATTCGGGGGGTGGTGGTGGTGTTGCAGGTACAGTTGTGGTTGCACAAAAACCCAACATACAGTCAAACCAGCTGAAAACCAGCTGAGCATCTGGCCTGGAATGGACGGTGCTGTGCTGGCTGTTCATGGGCATGTTTATAGGTTAATGCTACCAACAGAAGCGGGAAGGAGAGGATCCCTCCTCCCTCCTCCTCTATGCAGCCCCACACAAAGCAGAGGAAGGCTGCTGCAAGCAGCATGGGATGGCTGCCCCAGCCTGCTCAACCCAAGGGCTTGCATGTGGAGAGAATCTCTGCACATCCAAGGACCAAACCTGAACCCCCTCCATGATACATGCCCTGATTTTCCTAAGAAATAGCAAGTAGACGCTTTTGGCATAAGCTTTCACCATCTGAGAACCCCAAAACATGCAAAATTCAGGTCCAGACATACTAACTGCACTGCAGGGCAAGCTTTCCTCTTCCAAACCTCAGGGAAATTCATACATTCCTTCTAAATCCAGTTGTAAACCACTGTCCTTAAGGCACTAATACTGAATGCAAGTATTGATACTGCCAAAGAGTAAAACTGCATCTGAAAGAGTATCACATGTTTATGCATAACCCCAGGCCACGGGGGGGGGGGGGGAGAGAAGGATGTAGTTAAAGCAAACTTTGAGACACATCTGATTACAAACATCAGCAAGCAGATGTAACACACTTTGTAGTGCATTTTTAAAGCATTATGAATGGAAGATACACATCCAAACTATCCACCTCAGCTAAAAGGGTAAATCCTGCTCGAGGTCCTGCAGTGTTAACGCAGCGCGGCTCCAGTGGCTGCAGAGGAAGGCTGCAGCCCCCGAGCAGTGGAGCCAGGCGCGGACTGGCTGGGGGCCTGCACAAACAGCCAGGAAAGAGGTCGTTTTATCAGAAGCCATAAACCAGTTTCTGGCTAATTGTTTGACAGGGGCCTGGGTGTGAAACAGCAACGGCAGCGCCCTCGGGACCCAGCCCAGAACCTTTGATTTCCTTTATAAAACCTCCGGAAAGTTTTTCCTCGAGCAAATTTTCTGTTTTCCATTGCAAACTGCAGACACTGCTCTGGTGCTGCCCTCCTGCAGCCCCCCCCCTCCCCTTGCTCCCTGCTCCAGCTTTACCCTTTGTCTCACAATCAGAGGCTGATTTCAGGTTGTGCAGCTGAACCAGCAGCTGTTTCCAAGCAGAAAGCACATTCTGTGTTCACTTTATGGAACGTTCAGTGCTGGAGCAGATGAAATTGTACCTGCCCCACAAATGAATTCTAAAACTCCTCTGTGAAACTCTACCTAAAGTTGAAATATTCAACTGAAAAGTGCCAAAGTTGTGTTACTGGAGCTCAGTTTGGAAAGAGAAACAAAAGTTCAGGAGTCTGTGGGATGCTCCTGTGCCTACTCACCATTAAAATGCAGAGGAGAATCTAGGCTGTCTCTGTAAAAAAACTAACTCCAAGGGAGAGATGCCTGTGTGATATATAGATGCTCCCAGGTGAAACTCAGGATAACTGAGCCCTCTGCGGAAGGCAAGGCTGACCTGACATGCCAACACACCCAGGACAGACTCTGGATTTATTCAGCCACATTCACTTTTCCTGGTGCTCGAGTCACAAGCGATGAAATCTCATTCATTTATGCAAGCAACTGGAAGATTTATTGTAAATAAAGCTCTGCACATTACACAACTGGCTAAAAATCATAATTAGAGTTGCACTGGGGAACATGTTTTATTTCTTCTGACAGCAGTCTGGCTTCAATAAGCCCAGCATGATAAATGGCCCAAAAGTTTGCGGAGTTTCGGCAACTAAAGACCTTATCACAGCCATGGAAGTGGAAATGTCTGACAAGGTTTGATGTGGCTTGCGAGTGGTCCCGAGCACTTCTCCTGCACAGCATCACTTTCCAGCAGCACCAGGGCACAAGGAGCTGGAGGCAGCGCCTGTGTTCCCTGTAAATCAAAGGGATTTTCTGCTGCTGTTCAACTTCCCAGACCCCGGTGCGAGCGCGAGGACACGTCTGCGGGAATTAGCGCGGTTCTAGGATAGGGAGGAATGACAGTCGGACTGCCGAGCCGACAGACCCTCTGGAAGAGGGTCAATGACACCATTAATAGGATGCAGACATTCCCAATCTCCGGCTAGTCTGCGCCCTGCCAAAAGCTCCAGTGCTTGCTTGCTTTATAGTTTTAAGTACAATTTCAGGTCCATAAAACATCAGAGAAGACAGAAGCTATTATCCTGGCCATGACAGGAGTCCCTAATGGGACATGCATACTCTGCACATACCTAGAACTAGTGATGCTGAGCTTTTCCTGCTCCCCATCTGTTCAAGGGTATTTTAAAATGTACCAAATCAGGTTTACCCCAATAACATTTATTGCTGCCCTGAGACTTCTGACTGACTCTGAGTGCAATCAGACATTTATCTGCCTTTGCTCACTCTGAAGAGAGAAGCCCAGTCCCCTTGTCATGTGGGGCATCCTCTGAAGGGTTCTCTCCAACCCAGCCACGGAGCTGGAGGTATTTATGTGAAACCCCTCTTGCCGCAGAGCTAAAGAATCAAACCCAGTTGCTCTCCAACTAACAGAGAGGTTCTGCACAGACCAGCCCAGAGCCACGTACCTCAGAGGGCAAAACAAACTTTATTATCAATGAGGATGATACACACTGCCACGAGTATTTTAGTCAGTCTCTGCTAAATTTAGAACAGCTAGAATATTTCCAGCTAACATTATGAAAAATAATTATTTATACTGCTATAAAAAGAACATTCCAGTAGCAGGGAGAGGTGGTGAGCAGCAGTGCTCTGCCACAACGGTGAAGGAATCTGGAAGCCTTTCCCAGCTCCTGCTCCGCAGTGCCAGGGACTGGGAATGCTCGTTCCAGGCTGGTTTGCTGCACAGCAGGTGACAGTTGGTCTGTTTATTCAGTACAGTTCCAGAACAGCTTTGGGAATCCTCCCATCTCCAGAGCCACCATTCCGATAGGAATGATACAGAGGTTAGGTTTTGTTTTGCAAGGCTGACCTTAACATTGAGCCCAAACACGCCACTTCGTCGTTCTCAAGGACCTTTCCTTTTCCTCCCTTTACCCCCCGACACACACACACGTACCTCAGAAGCAGTTTCCTTGTGAAGAGATGCCCCCTCCGGTCACCACGGGGTTCTCCATTTCTGATGTGGTTCATGAGCACTACGGCTGTCCGTTCTATGAGAGAACCCCCAAAGAATCAACTGCTGCCACAGGAATCCTTCTGATAAGAAAAATTAAATGAAATAGAGAAGAATACTCAAGGATTTCAGGAAGGCAATGATGAAGGAATGACACACTCAGAAGAGGATTAATCATATCTGACAAACAGGAAAGCATGTAACCTCCTATTTGTTACTACCTTAAGAAAATACCATTTTAATAAACATATGGAAGCATTAAAACAAAGGAAAATGCATTATTTTGTAACTTTGAGGCTTGTATCGAGTTACATTTCATCCCTTCAAAACTTGCTTCATCTGCCAAGGCTGTTGTGCAGCGTTTCTCACTTCTGTGCCAGACCGAACGAACAGAGAATGGAGTGAATTAACTGCCTGGGAGCTGGAGCACAGCCTCCAGCATACAACCACGAGCACCTTCCATGGATTTATTATTGCAAACCAGCAGACAGATAGGAGCAGATGAAACTATGCACTGGTTTATCCTAAATTTAGACTCTAAATGGAGAGATGTCTCCTCCCTGCACCATAGCCAAAGGTGCTTTGATTTCATTATTAAATGTCTTTGTGTGAATCTGAGGTATGGAGCTCATGCTTTACACAGGCCTGCTCAAGCAAAACAGACATTACATAATTGTCTCTAAAGGGTTACAGCACAGTATTTATTCAACAGCAGAATGCAAGTTTGTTAAAAAGAAGGCTGCATACATCGAAATCAAACTTGTTTGGGTACAAACACAGCCCTTGGAACAGAAAACCTCATAAAAGGAGAAACCTTCTATTTATTAATTGGTCAAATGAATTAGAAAAAATGGCTTAGAGGAAGTTCAGGAAGGAACCGAACTCTGTGCAGCAAACACAGATGTCACAAAAATGACAGAGTCATCTTCAAATTAATCTCTTCATTTAAAATACCCACTGGCAACAAGAACAACAAACCCCATTCCACTTTGACTTCCATCATGTTACGATGCCGAGTAGCTTATTGACAGGTCAAGGGAGAAAACCTTCAAGCTTCTGAGGAAGTAGCACCCACCCCTTTTCCTGTACAAAAGGAGTTTGGATGAGCACGTATTGGTGGCAAGGCAAAGGCAGCAGGACCCAAACCAGAGCCTCTGGGTGCTCCCTGGGGCTCAGCCCAGCCGAGCAGCCACAGCTCTTATTGCCAGGGCAGCCAAATTCTTGGCACTTATAAGGAAAAGAATCCTGCTCATTTGTACATAATCCAGCTATTGACATGGCTTTAGTATGGCAAATGCTGAATGCCCCAGGTAAGGGAGAACTTCTGGACTAGAGGATCATGCTGCTGTCTGGAGGGGGTGAGGAAGGGATCTGGAATCGCAGTGTGATCCAAGCAGTGAAGAACCAACGGAGACCAGAGGTGTGCAAGGCTAAGTATTCCCCTTTGAAAAGGGGAAAGAAACCCAAAAAGTCACCTTTGAAAAGCAAGAATCTGCTTTCCTGATCCAAGCACCTGAGCTCCTGGAGCTCCCACTGTCCCGTTATTGCTTCTGGAGGTCAGTGTGTTTTACAGCTTTTGGTTTGTTTGTTTGCTAAAAAAAACAAAGAAGCGACATCCATGTTTGGAGCTATTAATACAAAAATCACACCTGAACTCTGTTGAACATCCCCCAGTCCCCAGTGCCCCCTGAGCTGGCCATGGTTTGCTATGTGGAATATTGTTACAAATATGAAATGTTGGCAAAATGCACCCCCCATCCAACCAGGAAAAAAAAAAAGGAAGAGAAAAGCTTTTTCCAGCTGTAACATCTGTTAAGTCTAACTAGCTGACAAGTGCTTCTGATGGAACACGCTTGCCAGAACACTACAGAAGAGGAGGAGGGACTTTATGGAGGAGGGAACACAAGCTATTTTTCTCCTTCCCTCACCCACAAAATGCACAATACCATTTGCAAACAACAAAGGAACACCACAGCATCTGATCACATGCAACACGAGGCGATTTCACGGGCTGACGCCGTCGCACGGAGTTATCTCTGGGTCATTCCCTGCGGCAGGATAACGGGAGCACATGCTATCCCAGCAAAAGACTCTGGGAAATGTAGGTCCCTTTCCCATTCATCAGTTTCAGTGTTATACACCTGCACAATGCTGGTGACATTGTTCAGATGCCAATTGTACCCTCCTACAATATAAATCTTTTTTTCTAGTAAACAACAGCCTGCTTCCGACTGCCCTGCACGCATTGGGCTCACCGTGGTCCATTGGTCTGTTTCAGGCACATAATACTCCACAGCCAAAACATCAAAACAACGGTCAACATGGTCCATGCGGCCTCCCAAAGCATAAATCCTGCTATTTGCACTGACCATGGCATGCAGAACTCTGGGCTCATTCATCGGGGTTTTAAACTCCCACTGATCCACGGTGGGGTCGTAGCAGTGCAGGGCTTTCTTGTCTTCCACCGAGATGCCGTACCCACCTGAGATGTACAGCTTGCCTCCTACCGTGGCTCCCGCGTGCCCCCACGTCCTGCGTTTCAGGGAGCACACGTAGGTCCACTCATTATTTTGGGGGCAATACTTCTCCACAGAGGCCAGGCTCCCCGAGCGGTTCCTCCCACCGGTGGCATACACCATACCGTGCAGGACGTTGAGCTGGAACTGGATCCTGCTCTCCTGCATGGCCTGGATGCGCAGCCACTGGTTCAGGTGCGGATCGTAGCGGTAGCAGATGTCCACAGCTCCCTCCCCGCTCCGGTACTGCAGGTGCTGCCCTCCAACGATGTAGACGAAGTTGTCGAGCACGGCCACGCAGGAGTGGCTGCTGCCCACCTCCATCTCTGTCAGCTCCTTGAACTGTCGTACGCTGGCATCCGGCAGGTAGTAGACCTTGCAGCTCACAGTGCGGTCGTTATCGGTGTAGGGAGTGCCACCGAAGGTGATGAGGGACAGGACATCCGAGCGGATGGTGGTGCGAGGGGACTGCATCTCATGCTGCCGGAAGGGCAGGATCTGGTAGTTGAATGCCTCCAGCAGATACTGCCGGCACAAGACATCTTCCACCATGATGTCCAAGGTCTGGACGCTGTCCACCAGCTCCGAGGACTTCATCAGCGGGAAGCGGATATGGCAGAGGACCTGGCTGGCGTTGGCACGGCGGGTTGGGTCATACTGCAGCCACCGGACGGCGGCACGGAAGAGATCTATTTCACTGCAGCTTTTCAGCTTATTGCTCTGCAAGAAGAAAACAAGGCGCTCCAGGGGCAGGTGGAGGAAATCTTCTTCCTCAGAGATCTGGAGGAAATGCCTAAAAGTGAATGCATCTACTGATTCCTTCAAGGATGCGAGGCTGAAGGTGGTGGCCATCTGCCCGATATTGAGACACGTTTCTACGCTCATGGCAGACTTCAGGAATTCTTCGCAGAGCTCCACGACAGGCACCATCTGGAGGAAGACAGCAGCTCCCAGCACATCCTGAATGCAGTCAAGATCAAGAGTCACTTCGGCACTGTATGCAAAGTCTATAATGTGCTTCAGTCCTTTTGCAGATAGACCTTTCAGTTCAATCACATCTTGGCTGGCTTCTCTCATCCCGCCTGCAAACATTGCCCTGGGGGTCAAGAACACAAAGATTTCACCCCCTTTTAAATACAGGTAAAATGATGCATCACTTCAGAATGGTATTTTATTCTTTTAAACCGTACTGATTCCCTCAGGGAGGATGGGGAGGGAGGGGAATAAATCAAGGCTAAATCTCTAAAAGGCAGGAGAAATTAAGAGTATGCAGTTTCTTACATAAAGCTTGCATAAACACTGCACTGAGAAGTAATATTCAGCTATCAGAAAGTTACGGTTTTCAATACTGTGGCAGCATAATTAAGAGTGGACCACAGGACAAAGCTTCAAGAAGTGGGTAGAGCTACCAGAGCAGGGACTGCAATACACTGGACACCAAGGGATCCATAATACTCAACAACCAAAGGAGACCACGGGATCTGCACCAGCAGAGGTTGGTAACCAAACCCTAAAGAGTTCCAGTGTTCAGGAAGTGTGAGCACAAAGAAGGAATAACCTGTGTTTAGGAGGTCAGCGACACTCTGAGCCTGCCTGCGGCACTGCCATCACTTAGCCTGTTCTATCCTAGGCTGGCTATGAAATCCAGCTATTGCAGATGCAACACTGCAGATGCAACAATCTAATGGCAATCACAAGAGAACCTCCCCTCCAGGGTTCAACCCCAGCGCCTTAAGTAAATAGGGAAATCGGAGTCGCAGCCACTTCAGAATCCTCTGTCATGTTGCAGCACGACGGCAGGGGGCTAGCAGGCAATTAGAAAACAAGGAGAAAAACAAGATTCTGTTCGAGCACAGCTGCAAGCACATCAGTTGACCAGGCCACGCAGAGATTAGGCCCGAGATCACCTCCTTGGGAGGCTTCTAAATTCCACAGGAAGCACATACCACGCCAGGGCCTGACGCAGACATCTCATAAACCATGCTGCTGGAGCAGTGCTGCGTTTCCCAGCACCGGGGCCTGCGGGCGGGACGGGGACACAACTGCACATTGGGATTTAATACAGTGACATTCAATTTCAGCAGATTTTGTTACAGATGGGTAGCTCAGGGGCAATGGTTGTGCTCTGGGTAGCATTGGACAAGCAGTAGCAGAGCAGTTCTGGGGGAAGCTGAAGTTAAAGCAGGCTGCTGGAAGACCGGCTCCAGGGAGCTGCAGCAGCCACTGCCATCGTACACACACCACAGCAAGGCTGCAGGCTGTCACGCAAAGACCTTCTGAATTGCTGGCAGCTGCCTGCACATTTGGAACTGGGTTTTCCATTGATAGCCCACTCTCTCACATCAGAAAGGTAAATCCATTCTGAGGGCAGTGTCGTTACTGCTGCTTTAGGAAGCTGTAGTGACTCTAAGGTGCAAGTTAGGCAGAAAAAATGCTGAATGGACCCTCCCTTCTGCATTGATACAGGAATAAAGGAGTATCTTGGGAACACTGTCACAAGATAGGAGTTCCAAGTTTCCTGTCCAAACCTGCCGCCATCCAGCATAAACCCAAGAAATCCTAAATGACCTAAATGAGGAAATACCTGCATATGAAATAAGCTCCCCGTAACCGGGTGACCAGCAATCCTGTTCACAATTTGTCCATACAGCAGATGAGAGCATTCTGCTAAAATCCCTCTGTGTATCCCATGTCCCAGAACAGCACGCTGCCCTGATCCCTTGCCCCAAAGTGTGTGCAGACACATGTGCGCTCGTGCATTAGCTACACAGAGCTGAGCATGCAGAAAGAGAAGCATTATAGTTGCCACGATGAAGACAAAGTGGAATGCAATTCCTTTAAGAAGCGTTACGGTTCTAAAATGCTGATTATTATATAAAGGCCTCAATTTCACTCTTTTTCTCCCCTCCCTCTCTGCATAGAACCAGAGTATTTTCAAAAGCTAGATTATTCTCCCATTGTTCCCCAGGACAACCTTCCTTAGCACCACAGAAGTTATAACAAGAAACCTACTCAGCAATTACATTTTGACAGGGAAAACACACTAGCAGTGGCACTGCATACAGCATTTATGAATACAAATAGTGCTATTAGCATTTGGTGGGAGATCAGCTCCATGGTTAATTGCATGCCTGGTAGGGAGAGTGATAAGCTTGGAGGGTTTATGTTACCAAAGCAAGAGAGAAGGGAACAGCCTAGAAAATATGTGTGTACAGGAGACAGACATCATCAGAGCAGCTGAAGAAGTGGACCGAGGGATGCATGAGATACACCAAGGGACACTGGAGTCCCTTGCTTGTGGTTACCTGCTCAGCACACACTTTCTGCTCAGGTCAGGAAGGAACCTACACGGTGAGGGACTGCAAACCCTGTTGAACAGCCCTTCTCCAGCCGTACCTGCTATGACCTGCAGTCCCAAACAGCCCTCAGGTCAAGCGCTCTGCTGTTCTGAACCTTCCCAATACCCTTTGCCTCCAGCATGCCCCTCACTTGACACTGCTCCTGGTGCTGCCAGGAAAGGTCCCTAATTCAACAGAGAAGTCAATGCCAAAGAGCTTGACAGAGACAAGATGGATGAATATGTATTTTTTGCTTAAGACCAAAGTTCCTGCTCTGCCATTGTCTCACTCTGCATTAATTGCTGAGAACACTCATCTCTGTGCTTGTTTTCTACCCACACAAGATAGGACAACTCTCCTCTATCTCCTGGGGCTCTGGAGAATGCACACCCAAAACGTTTCACACTCTTCAGCCTGTAAACAGTAATCACTGTGGACAGGTCAGTGGTATTTAAAGACAACAGGAGTGTATTTACAGCGGGCACCACCATTCAATGGGATGAGTCATTTCAGAGGCCTCTTGGAAATCACCTCAGGTAGCTTCAAGGCAAACGCTCCTCTCTTCAGCAGCACCTACCAGGAGGGTTCAGGACCCGGGCTTGAACTTGCATCTTGGCCCAGCGGCTGCAGCAGAACACACCTCCTCTGCATGCAGAGGAACTGGCTCCACGTGCCTGCAGGTAATCCCACCGACCTCCGTGGGGCAAAGCAGACCCCCAAAGGGTTGTGCATGGGGGTGATTCTGGGGTGTGGTGGGAAGGGTTGGGGTGGGGGAGGATGGAGAAACAGAAAACCAATGGGAAAGGTAGAAATGCCTGCTTCCCTGTCAGATTCTCACCTGAAATAGTCACTGCAGGCAGCCAAGACAACTTTATGAACCTGAAACACTTCATTATTTATAGTGAGGATGACATCAAGCAGCTGAGCCTGAGCTCGGAGCGAGGCCAGTCCCTGCAGTAGAGTGGTGCTGTGGCCAGGAGCAGAGAACGTGCATTTCAGGGTGCTGTTCTTGTCAGCCATGCTAAAAACAGAACAAGAGAGACAGGCTGGTTTTAAATTAAAACAATATGTGGTATACCTACAAAGCACGCTGGGGAAGCTCTGTAACGTGAAGCAGTTTGAACACAAATTCCCAGCTCAACAGCCACACAGAACATCATGACATCAGTACCTCAGTTGTATTCCCTTCTCCCAGCACAAAAGAGACTTCCAAGTTTTTACAATACCCTTTCCCATCAGTGACAACCCATCACGCTGCAGCACACGTGGCCTTCAGAGACCATCCAGACACCAGCCAGCGAGGCCAAAACCTCCAACGGACATTGGTGTCCCCACTCTACAACTACCCCAGAGCCCACCCTGGCCCTGACTTCAACCACCGGACTGAGTCACAGTTGCTTATTCTTCTCAGCACCTCTCCTGCCTGCAGCTGTTGGATACTCTGTGCTGTCCAAGGACAGCCCTGTTGGCCCTACTGGGTTCTGGCCTTATGCTGGACCCTCATGAGAAGAGCAAAAGCAAAGTATTACATAGCACTGGCTGCTCTAAATAACGTCAGCTGTTTGAACTGCACTGTAAACAGTCCCCTCCCAGAGTAAATATTTCCTTGGTTTTCCCAAAGCCTCTTGCACACGTTCCCCAGGGCAGAGCATCATTCTTGGATCCACTTGGCCTCAGATGCACTTGTCGGTGAGAAGGCTGCCTTCGGAGGTGAATGTCAGTAGCATCTCTGCACAAGTGGATGCTCTGTGCTCCTCTGAAAATAACAACAGTTAGGCTGCAGATTTCCCAAGCAAGGGAATAATGGCTCAACTTGCCCTGCCCAAAACGAGCATCCCACCAAGCAGGGCCCATTCACACCCACAGAAGCATGAAATCCTAAATTCACTGGCAAATTTGGTCCAACTCTGAACTACTTTTCAGGATCAAGATCCAAGGAAGAAAACACACACAAGCACCAGTATTCAGAATGGGGTTGATGGTTTTGGATGCATCCTGCCATTTGCTTGCTGCATTTTAGGAAATATGTTATGGAAGCATGACATAAATAATCCCAAACAGATCATTCCAAATCTGGAAAGCTGCATTACTTGATCCCAAGTCCACAGTGAGAGAGTGAGCTTAGTGCTGCACTTAAAGGGTGTTACTATTATTACTATTATTATTATAGGTAGACTATACCAACAAACCCAAATAAAATAGCACAGAGCCTGAGTCCCCACGTGCTCAGGGCTGTATGATCCCATCACCTGCTACCAACTGTCCCTAAAAGTTCACCACCTAAACAACAAAAGCTACACACAATGGACAACACAAGTAGGCGAGGTCAGAGAAGAGTCAGGGAGATGGGATAACAAAAAAAGGGGATGTAAACAATCCTCAAACAATAAGGAACAATGGACAGGACTTGCCGCTTGCCCAACTTATCGGATTGTCATTTCCTGCAAGCTTTAAGAAGAGGGGGGTTAGGGGAAATCTGTGATGCTCATCAGAGCACCCAGAGGGCAGGCGCTTTGTGTGAGCAGCTTCAGAGCTCTCTGGGATGCTGCAGGATGCAGATAGTGAATCTCTGCAGCCTGTTTCAAAACTCAGGCTTGAGGACGTGCCTCAAAATTCATACTGGGATGCCTGGTACCAGGCACTGTGCTTCTTGTAGCACAGATCTGAAACTCCTGCCTTCAAGTCAGAGCATACTAACAAGTCTTAGTTCAGAAATTGGAGCCCAGCTGTAACATCCTTCCTATAATGAAAAGGATTAGCAAAAAGTCAGTTGCTGACAAGACCTTTATCCGTGACTCCACGAGCCAAGAAGTGACTATCCACTCCTGCTCTTCCATGGCGAAAGAGGAAAGGGATTGGAAGGAGTGAGCACATGAATATTCATCACGTCAAACTCATTTTACTCTCCTCACTGGAACAATGGCTTTGATTCGCTGGAGTGAGAGGAGGAAACACGGAGCCTGAGTGTGGAAAAGATCTTGCCTCTGAGCACAGCATCATTCACTGAGCAAACCCATTCTGCTGCAGGCTGGACACAGGCAGCTCCGGAGCTCACTGGGAGATGGTGACTCCTGAGTTCACCATAACAGCATCAGACTCCATCTCCCACAGGATTCTTCTCATGGGAATTTTCTTCAGCACTTTTCTCATACCCATTTGAAATATTCCTGTTCCCAACGCAAGGCTTTACCCGTATAGGATTGCTTCCACCAGACCCTCCCAGCACAGGTTCCTCTTCAGACAACTTGACCTGAAGAAGTAGTCCTCTGTTGAGCTTTTTCCCATTAAGTTTTACAAGCATTGTTAAGAACCATAGTGTAAGTTTAAAATAGATGGAGGACTAAATGTGGCCGGGTGGATATTTCTGTGCTGGAATAAACATGTTTGCATGTGTGATTCACTTCAATAGGTAATTGTGAACAGCTACCCCAGAAAAACTCCCTGCACTAGTTCCTTTGTCTGTTTACAGGTATAAAATAAAAGGATCCAAGGATTACAGAATCCTCCAGGGGGGGAAAAGCCCAAGAAGCAAAGCATTAATAATGTCCAGTCTTCAGTCTGGAAAACAAAAAGAATTTTTAGAAGAAACACAAATAAAATCCACACAAAGCTTAGAAACCAAGGAGGAAACTTTGCAAGAAACAATGTGGGAGAAGGAGAGGTGAGAAACCAGCAGCAAGCGCTGTGTGGAGTGTGGCTGGTATAAAGGGGCTTGTGAGAAAAGCAGGCTTGGCTCCGGCCGGGCTCTGTGCCACAGGGTACATGCGCTCTGCTGCACGGCTTCGCTTCCCGCTCCTTTGGGAAGGGAGGAAGAAGAGCAGCAGCAGTTGGATGTCAGAGACTTCACAGCAATAAAGCACAAAGGGAAGCCTTGAACATGTGAAAGCGCCTTTGTGTGGCTGTCCCTATCTCACTCGGGATCTGGATATGCCGTGTACTCGCTGCTTAACAATCTGTTCCAGCCGACAAACTTTGGGAAGAGTCGCATGGACTCCTCAGCAGTTCAAGATAAAAGCCTTCTATCGCACAATAGTGGCAAAGTGTTTATTCCGCTCCTTCCCTTTCTGATGGAGAGCTTCTGGAATTTTCCTTGGGAGTTGGTCTTTGTCGTCAGAAGGACAGCACTGAGAGGAGCCCCTCCCGGGCGGCGATGCTGTGTGGAGTTTTCTGTGGCTGGAGCATCCTTTGGCAGGGACTGAGCACGCCAGCTTGGAGCAGGGTCCAGTGTGTCTGCCTGCATCCAGGCAAATCTACCCTTCAGAAAGTGTAAAGCATAAAAATCATTCACATCAAGCTGCATTTCCACTGCAAATCCCATAGGATTCACAGGGGAAGGGGATCTGAAAACGTTTACATGATCAGGGCCTCTAACATGAACATATTGGTATAAAGGTGACTTTACAGGAACAGAAATCCCACTTCCCACATGGAAATCACTGTAGCAGTGAAAGGTGTCTTTATATTCACTGCACCCATCACATGAATGGCGAGGGCAGCTGGAATTCAATAGGATTCCAAAGGGTGATGCGTTTTGGGCAGCAGCTTCAAAGACCGGTAGCATCACTGTTACCTGATTTTCAAAAGGGGACTACCAGGAATCAAGTAATGGGATTGGGGATTTGTCTCCAAGCTGCTGCTCTGAAGCCAGATTGCTTTCAATCCTCTCCAGTCGCTGCAAGGTAAGAGTTCATTCAGCGCGGTGTATGTGACCTTAGCTTGAGGAAAACCAACCCAAATCCATACACACACTGCAGGCTTGTGCAAATGTTAAAGCAAGGGTTAAAGGAGTGGCAGACAGCAGGCAGGGGAGGCAAACAAGGCCAGAAATTCTCCTTCTGCTGCTCACGTATTGCAGCAGCTTGGCCATCCGCTCATCCTTGCCCCGAGCACGCTGACCACATCCTTAGCTGGCATGTTCTGAGCCAGGGCTGCTTGAGTTCTGACCAGAAACAGATGCAGAGAGGAGGCACCTGAGGGCAGGGCTGAATGCCCGAGAGGCCTCTAAAGCTGATGGGCTGAGAGGTGTTGAAGGGCCACACTACAAGAGTCAGTCCAGATGAAGCACAAAGAACATCCCAAAGAACAACCATCCCCTGCCTCTGCCTCCTGGATCCCCCACAACATCACGTGTCATCCCAGATGTGTTTCAAGCTAATGAATCATTTTTACCAAATCTGTCCTGATGATTAAAAACATCAAAGCTGGAATTAAAGGCTTACCAAGCATGAGTTCATATTTCAGCATGTTTGCAACTACTGCACAAGCACAAATGGAGAGAATTACACCAGGCCAGACGAGAACCTTTCAGTGATTGAATCCTTTGCTAGACAACTGCCTGTCCTCTTCCTCCTGGCATAACATGGTCCTCCTCGGAGGGAGGGATGGGTCAGTGCTAGCAGGGCTGGCTCTCCATCCCAGCTCAGCATCCCTGCCAGCATCCAGCCACGTGTTCCCACTCTCCAGACAGGTGGTGCTCGGTGATTTCTCACACAGGAGAGGCTCAGGGGCTAGCAGGGTTTCCAACAGGGCAAACTTCCAGCAGCAGCCTCTGCAGTAAACACAGGCTCTAAAGGTAGGACCCCACGAGGCATGGCTGGGGTGCAGAAGAGGAGGGAGGAAAAGCAGCAGCGTGTGTGTGTTCACATGCACGGAGCACGGACTGCCACAGCTTTTCTGGGGAGAAACAAAGGATTTGGGATTGCAAAACAGCCAGCAAGGCACCTCTGGAGCGCTCGAGCCTGCAGGAGATTTCCTATGGTGAGAGCTGCAGAACTAACATAAAGCTGAAGAGTAACTTTATTTAGTACATAGGGTATGAATATTAAAGGCCTTCTTTAAGAACCTTGAAAGGCAGCATTATAGATATTTTAATAATGCAAATCATTTAATGCCTTTAGTTTCATGCCTAAGTAAAAAACACATTCAGATTCTGATTTTTAAACTACAATCAAGACACTTAAAATCAAAACAAAAGTCAAACTCCCTCAGATAAGTCACTGGTAGCCATGGTTACTGTAATATTTCAGATCCTGAGGCTTTATATCACATGCCCAAATGATGAAAATGAGTTCCCAGCACCTCACACTAACGAACATTACGGGAGTTGGAAAAGGCCAAGCTCTTTGCTGCAGATCTGCTGCTTCACAACCTCTTCCCAGGAGCTCCAGACATGGTCCTGTGGCCTTTGCACCCCCTTAGGAGGTTTCCCTGAAGTCTGGGTGCAAGGAAGAGCAGATGCTGCCAGGCAATGAGACTTAAAATACCTGCCCTCGTAACCTACTTACAGCCCAGCAGCACGACTGGCACCAGCACCCCCTCAGAAACATTTACCATCGCTTCCCCATCCAAATTAGCACCAACAATAAGCCCTTAATGCTGAGCAGCTAATTAAATATTAACACATGGAGTGAAGGGGATGTTTTCCAGAGAAACATCATCATCCTGAGGGAAGACGTGAGCAAAACCATGTAATCGAGTTCTTTGTTCCCTCTTCCACCTCCTTCCCTTAATTTCTCCTTTTTCTCTCCTCTGCCTCCTCTCATTTTCCTCTCTTGACACCCTCTCTTTCATCCAAGGCAATAAATACAAGTAAAAAGCCTGAGACTAATATCTCTATCTAAAAGTGACTAAAGCAATTTGGAGTGCTCAAATGAAGAGATTATAAATGGGCCTGAGTTTTAGAAGGAGCAACACTTTGTGGGGGAAAAAGTGGTCTATAAAACGCCTGAAGCGGAACAGTGAGGTTTGAAAAGTCTCCGCTTTTGTCTTTAACACTTTGAGTCTCAGAACTTCAGGAGAGTTACGTGCCCAACAAACCAGTCCTTTGTATCTCTATTACAGGTCTGCTCCTCTCACAAAGAAGGAACTGAGGTCTCAGAAGATGGACTGGGATGGGACTGGGCACCACAGGGCTCCCACACCCTCGCTGCCTGATTCAGCCTTGCCTTAGTGAACCAGCAATGAAAGCCACGTTTCACAGAAGCCAGGAGGTACCTTAATGCTTCGGGTTTAAGTGCTTTCTGAATCAGGTCCTACTAATCCCGCTATTTGCTTATCTGCCTCCTACTTCTCCCAGGCTGGCACCAAGGCAACCCTGTAGCCAAAGGTAAGAGAGTGAGGTGAAGCAAGAGGCTTTTCAATTGAGTTTTTCTTTAAATAGTATTTCCTGGTCCCCACAGAAGTCCCCAAAACGTTTTCAAATCCCTGTTTTCCTTTCTCTGAGCTGGACTCACACAGGGCTCAGCAGACACACACACAAACACATTCTGCTCCCAGGCTTCAATGGGAGGTTGTTTGCAAGCCAAAGGAGGTAGGAATTTGGTTTCTGCTAAAAGCACTAATGAAGCTGGATGTGTGTCAGAAGCTGGCCTTGTCAAACAGAGCACTGGAGCAGCAAAAACGTGGAAGGTGAAATATCTGCACACATTAAGCTCTGTGCTACTCCATGGAGTTTCACATGAGGGACTGGTCAGTACGTGCTGTACCTGGGCCAAATTAGGGGGAGAAGGGAAAAAGCATGGCAGGGGACTTGGATCTTAAGGTCCTTTCCAACCCTAACTATTCTATGATTTTAGGATTCTTAACAATGTTCCTATTGCAGAGCCAGAGCCATCATGGTGCTGGTGCCAGGACAAGGGGAAGAGCAGTCTGGTCCTTTTCATTCAGCAGCTCTGAATTAGGGGCTCTGTGAGTGCCGATGTGCACACTGCTAGCAGCATTAGGGTTTTGGAGGGGCACGAAGCGTCAGGCTGAGCACATCCTTTACCAGGAACTGCCATTTCTCTCTATTCACACCCAGAGCTACCACGGAGGATCTTGTCCTGTAGAGGGGTTTTCCTGGTGCACTCTCAGTCCTGCCCCAAACCTCCTCCAGCAGCAGAGAGTGCAGCAGGCAACACACATCACCCATCACTAACAACATCCTGCCCTGCCACAGCCTCAGCCTTTACAATGACTGAGGAGGGGAAGATGCTACCCACCCCTCAAACTTACTGTGGTTATGTTCTTGTCAGCCCCAAACCTAAAGCCGCTGTGGCAGGAACAAACTGAGCAGATGGAAAGATCACTCTGAGCATATAAAAGACTGTGGCAGCCACAGGGAGCATCACAGCAGTGAGGAGTTCAGCTGCTCGGTGCTGCTCCCAGCCACAGAGGACCTCTGAAAGGCCGGTGGGGTTTACACCATGTAAAATTTCCCTATGTATCCACAGTACAAGCTCTTTACACACTGGATGCTCCTGCTGGCAGCGCTGCCTTCAGCAGCTTCACGTGTCTCCCACCTTACAGTGCCACCCGCCAACCCCGGCTCTGGGAAGCAGGCAGTTACAGTGACGCTGGCCCAAAGCCGTGTGTGTAAAAAGCAGAACCAGCCTTTTCCAGGCGGAGCAGTGGCTTCGCGGGTGCTCCCGCAGCAGCACCCGTGGCAGAGCCGCTGAGCAAAGGCCGAGAGGCACCTAGTGGTGCCGGGAAGCACAGCAGAGCCACCAAGGCCACCCCAAGTGACACTGGGGCCAGCCCCAAGCGCTGCTAGCCTTCCAGGTCCCACCCTGCGCTTCCCTCCACCATCACGTTTTCACCTTCAGAAACAAAGCTGATCCACAGCACAGCTACCACCGCTTTCACCCCAAAATCCACCAGGATCTGTCTTGCCACTGTGACACGTTCCCGCTTGGGATGGCCCATTCCAGCCCTGCCAGCAGCTTCTAGCACGGCAGAGTTCCCCCCACCAAGCAAATCCCTCTGGGACCTTGTCCCACACCACCATACCCTTCGCTCTGCACCTTGGAACAACTTCCCACTCAGAGTACGAGGTGCTCGGCGCAGCGTTTGTCCCAGCCTGGGTCTGTGGCAGCCGCCTGCATCGCCTGGGCAGTGTCGCAATAAAAACGACAGGAGTAGTTACATGCAGAGTAGGGACTCCAGCGTGCAGCGCACCGCACACGCCTCTCCTCTCCCTGCACCTCCACCCTCCAGATTGGTGCCTCGGAGCAGCGAGGGATGTCGAGCACAAACAACATGAAGTGATGAAACAGCAGAAACAAGACAACACCACTATGCCATCACTGCAGACTAAAGGAATCGTGTTTTCTAGCAGATGCAAGCAGCTGCCCAGCACTTGGCATCAGCACACCAGCTCTAATTCAGCTCCAGGATGAAACCTGCTCACCACCACAGCTGGTTTTAGCCCTTACCTAAATCCTCTGCACTTCCCTTCCAACAGGCTTGCATCATCACTACGGTTCCCAGCTCCTTGGGCAGTTCAGTTCTGCAGCAGCTCCATGTCACCTCACCTGAACAGAATTAACCAAGACCCCCAGAAGTGCAGCAAAAGCTTTTGTGAAGGGCAGCAATTTCTGTGCAAGTTCAGCACTTCTCAGCCACATAAATGAGAAACTGGAAAAGACACCTGAGCCATCACCCCGTGATGCAGGACTCTTCCTTCCAAAGCGGTGAACGCTACACAACACTTGGAGGTAAGGCCTTTAAAGAATCACCAACGTTTACTTCTGGTCTAAATGGAACCTCCAGCTCAGAAGTTATTTTTACAGCGTAAACATCTACACCACGTCTACCAGCTCCAACAACTAAATCTGGTTTAAAATTGCCATGTGGCAGAGGGTGGAACATAGAAACCGCACAACACTGAACTCCGAGCGGTTTCAGAAGGAAGAAAAGAACTCTAATTGAAGAATGAAGCTATGCAAGATCACAGGAGCACAAAAGCAAAGCAGACTCACAGCCCTTATCATTATCTTCCCCCAATGGTTTTACTCCATCCTCCTGTACATTGCTGCTCTCCCACTGCTTGCTTTGGAAGGAATAAGGTCAGGGAGTTCAGCTCAACTTTCCCTTGCTGCGAACCCAGACATACGTACTTCTAGATAAGGCAGACCTGCAGGTCTCCCTCGACCATTCATCCTGGGTTTGACAGTTGGAACTGCTTTCAACCAACACACCAGCGTGTAGCAGTACTAGAGAGGCTCCGAAATGCGTTTACACACCCTGGCTGCCTTCCTGCCCATCTTCAAGGGATTAGTGGAGACGTGCAGCTCTCCTCAGCAGCTTGTCTGGACAACCCTGATTAATTCCTGCTTAGAGGCTGGCACGGTAACATCCTCTCCAGCACCTGAGATGGTTTTCCTAGATCTCTGGCACCCTGCTTTGTACAATGCTCCTCCCCAGCATCGCAGCAGAGCTCGCACACCTTGCCTAAAGCACGGAGGGCCTTCCTCACTGGGGGCACCCATGGACCTGCCCGTTTCCTCTGTAACTCACTCACCAATCTCAAAGCCTGTCTCCAGGAGCAGCACTGTATTACACAGTGAATTCTGAAGCCTGAAACTCTCCCTCTCCATGATATGGAGAGCTGGGAGTAAAACATGAAACCCGTCTGCAACTCAGGAAGTTCTGTCCATAAAGGAAAAAAGGGGGGACAGGAGGGAAGGCAAGTTTATTTCAAATGAGAAGATTTAGGCCGCTTGCTTTCCAGCGCACAGCAATGGCCTTATCTCATGCCAGCAGTGTGTCAAGGGCCTTTTGAGCGTACCCTCGTCCACTCCTTATCGCAGGAGAGCGCGGGATGCCCGGCAGACACGCGGCTGTCCCTGCTCTGGAAGGCAGCACACACACAGGAACCAGCATCAGCTATGCAGTAGCAATTCCAAAGATGGAAATTCTGCCCGTGCTGAGTGCACCACCGAAATGGCATGTGTGTAACAGCAGGAGAGGACTTTGTCCTTTTGCCATAGAGAGCAAACACTCACTAAGTGCAAAAAGGCCACAAGTGGAAGCACCTAACAAGGAATCACTGCTGACCCTTGCAATTCCCCTCTTGCCCTACACAGCCGATGCAGTGTCTCCAACATCCACCATCAGGTTTGTCCCCAAGACATCCATCCTTTACAACAGACTAACAACCAGCAAGCAGCAGCATCAAACTGCAGCGAGCTTTACTTTAAAACTAACAAAGAAAACAAACACACAGCGATAGGGAAGGCAACGGAGCTGCAGCTTGGGGAGCATTGCTGCTGCAGCTCCACGCCGAGTGATTTATCACAGCCCTCAAACAAATTACTTCCATTTCTCAGTGCTACATATCCAGTACCTAGGAGCTCCAGAGCGAGTGGCCCTGCACCCATGTAAAGGGAGTGCTGCTGTTCCTGTGCTGCTGCTCCTATGCTGAGCAGGAGGGAAAGGAGCTGCAGAGAGATAAAATTAAACGCCCCAGGCAACAGCATAGTTTACACAGGAGGTCATTAGGAAAAAGGAAATAAAACGTATATATAAATATATATATACACATGGAGAAGGTGAGAACTCAGACAGGCTTCCCCAGTGCTCAACAATGACTGTAAGAGCTTCCCTCTCCACAGCGTGACACCCAGGAGCAAACACAGAGTTAAACTGAGGCTAGATGATGCTCCGAAGAGCAGGGCCAGGCTGACAGCACAGCATCCCGGCGCACACAACACAGCTGAACACTGCCCAACGCAGAGCTCCTGGATGCGGCCAGCCCTGGAGCAGAACCTCCACTGCCAACAGGTACCACCTACAGCACCCGCCCGGGTACCCAAGGGGCGAGCGGCCCTCCAGGAACCAAACCCAGCCCAGGGAGGGGGTTGATGGCGAGGGGCTGGGGTGGAACAGAACGGGCCCAAACCACCAAAACCGCCGTGTTTCTGTGACTCTACAAACCCGCTGCCTCTACAAACCCAACGCAGGTGGGGTCTGTGCAACTCCCAGCAAACCCCCCCCAAACCTCAGCCTTCCTCCGCATGAATTCCCTCATGGGAAGCTGGTTTTGTCACCGTTCAGTGCCTGCCCCATCCCTGGCAGTGTTCAAGGCCAGGTTGGACACAGGGGCTTGGAGCAAGCTGCTCAGTGGAAGGGTCCCCGTGGCAGGGGTTGGAGCTGGAGGAGCTTTACGGTTCCCTCAACACAACCCATGCCGTTGTTCCATGGCTCTCTCAGAGGCCCTCAGCCGCCGGGCCGCGCTCAGGATAACTCCCTCCCCGGCTCCCCGCCCCGCACGACCCCGGGCGAGCGGCCTCGGCTCCCACAGAGGCCACACAACTGAACCCAGCGGCGCTTGTGGGCGCCGGAGGAAGGCGGAGAAGCGCCGCGGCCGCCCCGGGCCCACCCGGCCCCGCCCCGCCGCCGCCCGGCGCTCGGACCCCCGGTACAGGCCGCGCCCGGGCCGCGCTCACCTGCTCGGCGGCTCCGCGGCGAACTCGGCCCCGCCGGACTCCGCCATGTTCGCTGCGGGCTGCGGGAGCCGCCGCGTTAAAGGCGCAGGAGCGAGAGGGGCCCGCGGCGGGGCCCGGCACCGGCACCGGGGATGAGCGGCTCCGCTCCGCGCCCGCCGGGCCTGGCGCCGCCCCGCCGCCACCGCGGCCTGTCACCGCCCCGCGGCTGCCGCTGCCCCACGGCCACGGGGGCTGCGGGCCCGGCGCCCCCCTCATGCCTGGGGGGGCCCAGAGGGGTCTTTGCTGCCCCATGGCTGGGAGGACTTGGGGGTCTGGCCCCATCCCTCAGCTCAGGGCTCCCGTGGCTGTGGCCTCCCCGCGGCTGAAGGGACTCGGGGGGTTTCTGTCGTCGCCCCATGGCTGAGGGGGCCTGGGGGTCCGTCACCCCCCGCACGACTGCGGGGTCCCGGGGTCTGTCACCACCCGATGGCCGTGGGGTCGCTGAGGGGGTCCCCTCCCCACGGCTGATGGGACTTGGGGGGTGTCTGCCATCGCCCCACGGCTGAGGAACTGTGGGGGTGTCACTGCTGCGTGACCTGCTCCACAGGCCCCCATGGGCCTCCCCATGGCAGAGCCTCCCAGCTGGCGTTACCCAACACGGGCGATGGCCGTACCCCACCCGTTCCCTCGGCATCTCCCGTGGGACTCGTCGTGTCCCGCAGGAGCCATCGTGTGTGCAACCAGCCCTGGGCTGCGGGGACGAAGCCTCCAACGGCCCCATTCTGGACCGGGTTTTACTGCCGTGAGTGCTCCGTGCAGGAGCAGCAGTACCCTCCAGAGGGTGCAGTCCGGTCACCGGCGAGCCCCGCGCTCCGGCTCTGCCGCCTCGGTGCCAAAGCTGCCTTCGCCACCCCACGTCCCCACACATGGTCGGCATCAGCGGCGCTCCCAAAGCGCCTGGCGCGGACGAGGCCAAGCATCGCGGGACCCGTGTAATTCCGAAAGCTGGCACGCATCTGGGAAGCGGATGGAGCAGAGGGCATCCAGAAATCAGGAAATTGTTCGTCGCTCTGCCAATGACCGGGGCTAAATGTCTTTGATTTCCCATGCCTCCGTGTCCACATCTGTATGAGGGGAAGGGGGAGTTCGTACATGAGAATAAACGCGCTTGGAAAGCCGTGAAAATACTCTTTCAAGTCAGCCTGATGAAAACTTCATGTTCTGGAGCCCTCTGCTTCAAGGAGAGCAATCTGTTTCAGAGGCAAAGCTGTGTATTTTTCTTATTTAAACCTTCTAAATCTGCTGGAGCATTAAAAATATTTGGCATTTCCACAGCACATTTCATTCCCAGCTCCAAATGCGT